CCCCCCCCCTCCCCCTCTCCCTTCGATGAGATGCATAGAAAGATCTAGATAGTAGGGGGGGAAGGGACTTTCCTCGTTCCTTTCGAGATTGTGGTCTTCATCGCCCATCGGGAGGCCCGATGGTCTTGTCTGATCGGAGGCGATATACCACTTGGATCGGTGACGTGGAGGACGTGTCAAGAGAGGGGGAATGGGAGCTTGATTTATTGTTTTTGGTATGCATTTATGATACTCGTCTCTTTCGGCTTCGTCCAAGCGCCCTAAGCAGGGAGTTGTGCGCAGAAGCTGCCAAATTGGTGATAGACAGTACGAAGTACAGTACGCGATGCTCAACGCAAGGTGGGCAGCAAGGTCTGCAGCGATACTCCGTAGTCTCCCCGCAGATTTACCGGGGAATTGGTTTCGTTTCGGACTTTTGGAGAGCGTAGTTGAGTCGAGGTTAGATTAGTTAGTGGGGTTTTTCTTTTCTCTATCTCCAGCATAGATAATCAAAATCAATCTTTGAGTGTCGTCTGTCTCCTCAATAATACCAATGGGTCCCAAGGGGGAGAAAGATTAGTGGTGGTGGTGGATGCTCTGGCGGCCACTCACAGGCTGCCAAAACAGCAGACCGGCGCGCCTCACTTCGCTGCGGGTGCGACGACGGTCTGGGAGTTCTGGAGCATTGTTATTCTGAAATTGGTTCCTGCTCGTGGGATGGATGTTGCTCGGATCAATGGGTGCCAGACTACTGCAGATTTCGGAGAATAATTGTCAGCTGGAGGATAAAAAAAAGGGAATATCGAACCCCTGGTCCGTGTCATTTGATGCGGTGCCCTGGTGGTGGTGGTAGTGGTAGTGCCGTAGTGGTAATGGTAGTGTAGCAAGTCTAGCAGGATGGAAGCAGCCTGAGGCCAGGCAAGCCCGCTATTCCTGGTCGGGCAGTCCAGTGATCTGCGGGCGGGTGCAGTAAGCTGTTAACTACTCCGTACACTATACCGTGACCTACCACCACGCTACTAAGTACAGTAGGTACATGTACACTGGTACAGTACAACCAGGCTAGTCCTGCTGACTTGGCCGGTGGGGATTCGCATTCAAACGGATCTTCCTCTTCTCTCCCCTTCTTTCGCAGCTGCCACAACAACCGCCTCCCCTGAGGTGTTGGCCGTGCCTCTATCAGGTACCAGAGCACTGTGCAATGTGGCCTTCACTCATTGTCTCCCAACAGATCCCTCACAGCTGAAATCTCGATGATGATCTCAGATGATGACACTGATGTGTCTGGCTCATGATCGATCGCCCTCTTCAGATGGCGAGATGTACTCCATGTACTGTACGGAGTGCACTGATCAGAGAATGGGCCCGGCCATATCGCACCCACCCACTTCACCCCCCAGTTACAACTTACAGTACACACAAAATCCCCATCCCATGTCGCCTCGGATTGACATGGGGCCCGGTCTCTAAAGACCCCCTCTCCACACAAAGAAATGCATCCAATCTACTGCCCTGTCCACGCAATTGTTGGGCAGGAATTCACCACTGCTCCCATACGCGCTAATGCTAATGCCAGTACGAAAGTCGATATTGGCAGTGGTCGCAGTCAATCAATTTCCGAGTAACCAGAGTCATTCAGGTCTTCAGCTATTCTTCGCCCGCGATTGCTTGCCTGCAACGACTGTATGCCGTCTTTATTGGCTGGTCATATCACTTAACCTGGCATCACTCCGTGTTCACCCTGCATCCTGAATTAAGCTGCCGGTTTGACCCTATGCTTTTCTTTTTCCTTCTCCGCACGGAGAAACTCCCTTCCAACTGCATCAACTTGCAGCTCTACCTTAATGATCGACCTCAAATGATCATCAATCAAGAGGGTGAGAGAGTGAAGACGAGGCAAAGAGAAACAAGGAAAACTGAAAGGTAAAGAGTTAATCAGGCCCGGGAACAACAGCAATCAGAGGGTCCCGATGGAGCTGTGGCACCATCCCCACCACGCTAAGGACTCTCTCCTCTCAACGAAGCACCACCCATCTCCCATCTCCCGATTGTCCAGCCTGCATTCTATCCGGACTGCACGGCGCACCCACTCCCCGCCACCACTACTGCGAGCTTTGCAGATGGCAGCCCTCCGGCTTCCCCCTGCCCCAGTGATGCTTCCGGAAAAAGACCCTCTGTCGATGTCCGTCCGCCAGGGCCATTGGGCCCGTGAGACGTGGCCCAATCAGAAGAGATGCCGTTGGGCAGTTCGTTCATGACGTCCCCAGTCCCAAGCCCGAAAGTAATGCTCAACAATGTTCTATACCACCGGGAAGTGGATTCGCTACGATACGTTGCCTCGCATTGAATCCAGAATGGAGCCTTCATCTCGTTGGCGTACCGGTACATTCGGGCCTTTGTCGCTTTGGTCACTCAACTCGCCCTTTCCAGGCCTTCCTTCTAACCTAATTCCAATAGGGCTTGCTTTTGAGCCTTTGACCTGACATTTTACATATTCCCCCCCCTCCGTTTCACATCCTGTGCTTCTTGCATTGCCCCTATTTTTGGTGCTTCGTTCATTCGTCTCGTTCCCCTTGTCAATTTCCGCCCTATCTAGAACCCGACGGGAGTATGTCATAGTTCTTCAATGAAAATTTATACCCCCTTCTCCCTCCCTCACCAAGTCAGCTGAAGTCTAACATAGCTCAGTAACACTCGCCAGTGATCCGATGCAATGGGTAAGAAGAAGAATACCAACAACAAAAAGAAGAACAACAACAACAACAAGAACCGACTACCGATAAACGACAATCCAATTTCCAACGAGCAAGCTCCCCTGGTTGAACCCGCCCCGGAGACGGTGGCCGAAGTGATTGAGAATGGAGCAACCACCGATCCAGTATGCTGAGCTTCCCAAGTTTGAGTACCATCAGACACTCGAGCGTCATTACCAGACCTTCGACCGTCAAACCATGCAATTTCATTATTATTCTGTTGCTGCTACCTCGTCCGATGATGGTCTGACCCCGGCTAAGGACCAGGAGAACAACAAACCCATCGAAGGCCAACCTGCCGACAGTGCCCCCCAGGAAGAAGGATCTGATAGCACCTCTACTGATGGTTCATCGTCGCCCGATTCTGGAGGTATGTATTGACCTACCTTTTGCTTCATCCTCTCCCTCGTGTCCCAACAACTGCTTTCTTGATCACAGTATCTTGTCTTCCTTACTAAGTATCTATATAGAAACGTCTGGGACAAGCACACCACCTTCTGAGCCTGCTGAACTCGCTGCTGATGCTGTCGACAACACCGATGCGGCACCCAAAGAGGATAGCGAGACGCCTTCCCCCGCGCCAGATGCACCCGCAACGGACGCGGACGATAGCACACCAGGAGGTGAAGACGCCACACCAGCCGAGGACGCACCCAAAGACGTAGAGCCAGAGCCCGCAGCTCCCGACGCAGCCGACAGTTCACCAGCACCCGCGGAGGAGACTACTGAACCTACCCCCAGCACTGGTACGCCTAAAAAGAAGATCAGTTCACTAAGTCAGCTAATCTTACACTTAGAGGAAGACTTTCCGGCCTGCGACCCCTCTGCCGAAGAAGACCAAGTCGAAGCCGAAAAGCAGGCGGTTGAAGCTACCACGGCGGAAGAGGAGACACCAGCAGTCGGTACAGAACACCTCATTGATATGAACATTGACATTGTTGACTTCGACGCGACAACTGACCCCTGTATAGACGGCCCATCGACAGAAGAGGTCCCATCCGATACGAATGCTGATAGTCCCAGTGGCGACAATGCAGGTGTGAACGACACCAGTGATGCAACTAATGACACCGCAGCTACAGAAGCCGAACCGGAGGAGGAACCGAAGGAGGCCGAGGCTCAGCCTGAAGCTCCTGCTGACGTAGTAGAGGCACCAGCTGCCCCTGCTGCAGCAGCAGGAGACGGGGAAGCGCCTGCGGCTGACAGTGCCGAGCCTTCAACCACGGAGGCCGATACAGTGGAGGCTGCGGAGGAAGCAAAGGCCGAGCCCGTCAAGGAAGAAGCGCCAGAGGCTGCAGAGCAGGCAGGGGAGGAAACGCCAACAGAGACAACAGAGGATGTCACAGCAGACGCAGCTGCCGCCGAGCCTGAGGGAGAAGCTACAAAGGCAGAGGAATCTGCACCAGCTGAAGCGGCCGAAGAAGCAGGCCCTACTCCAGAACCAACTGAGTCGCCTGCAGCAATCGAAGAACCCGCGGCAGAGGCAGAGGCAGACCCGAGGACCCCAGCTCCCACCGATGCGCCCGAAAAAGCTGTTGAGGAAAAGGGCGCAGGCGAAGAAAATGCCGAGCCACCTGCCACAGAGACCGCGGCTGATGAGCCTGCTGCTGATGCAACAAACGATGCTCAGGATGAAGCACCAGCTACCCCCGAAGAAACCCCCGAAGTGACGGAACCGGCAGTCGACGAGACATCAAGCCAAGAAACGGCAGTCGAAGAATCAACGGACGAAAAGCCGGCCGAGGAAGCACCCGCGGAGGCAGAGGCGGCGGCTGAAGCTGCGCCCCCGGAAGTTCCTGCAGAGGAAGCTGCGTCGAAAGAGGAGCCTGCTGTCGAGGAGCCTACAACAGCCGATGGTGTGGCTGCCGAAGAAACAGCGCCCGCCGAAGGTAAGGCTATTGTGGAAGAATCTGCTCTAGCTGAAGAGCCCGCTGCTGAGTCTCCTGCTGCTGAAGAAGCTCCTGCTCCTGAAGAGGCTCCTGCTCCTGAAGAGGCTCCTGCTCCTGAAGAGGCTCCTGCTCCTGAAGAGGCTCCTGCTCCTGAAGAAGCTCCCACCGTCGAGGAACCGGCTGTTGCTGAAGAAACTCTTGTCAAAGAAGCTGTCGCTAAGGAGGTTGCCACCGAAGAACCAGCCGCCGAGGAAGCCCCTGCTGCTGATGAAACGGCCGCTGAAGAAGCTCCCGCCATGGAGGAAGCCCCTGCTGCTGAGGAAGCTCCTGCTGCTGAGGAAGCCCCTGCTGCTGAGGAAGCTCCTGCTGCTGAGGAAGCTCCTGCTGAGGAGGAGGCCCCTGCTGCTGAGGAACCAGCTGCTGAAGAAGCTCCCGCCACTGAAGAAGCCCCTGCTGCTGAGGAACCGCCTGCTGCTGAGGATGTCGCCAAGGAGATTGTCGCTGAAGAGCCTACTGCTGCTGAAGCTCCCGTTGTTGAGGAAGCTCCTGCCGCTGAAGAAGCCCCCGCCGCTGAAGAAGCCCCTGCTGCTGAGGAGCTCGCACCGGAAGAATCTACACCTGCGGATGAACCAATCGTCGCTGAAGAAGTCGTCGCCGAAGAGGTCGAGGCTGAAGAGGTCGAGGCTGAAGAGGTCGAGGCTGAAGAGGTCGAGGCTGAAGAGGTCGAGGCTGAAGAGGTCGAGGCTGAAGAGGTCGTCGTTGAGGAAGTTGTCGAAGAGGCCGTTATCGAGGAAGCTACTGAAGAGCCTGCAGCAGAACCTATTACTGCGGAACCTGCAGCTAGCGAAGAGCCTGCTCTAGAGAGATCTATTCCCGCTGACGAGCCCGCCGCTCCCGAGGAACCTGCTCTCGAAGACGTTACTCCCGCTGAAGAGCATGTTGAAGAGCCTGCCGCTGTAGAGGAGCCTGTTATTGTCGAAGTCAGTCCAGCAGAAAATGCACCTGAAGAGCCAGCGCCTGCAGAAGATCCTGCTCCAGAGGAACCTGCTCCTGCCTCTGAGCCAGCGGCTGAAGAAGTTGCGCCTGTCGAAGAGCCTGCACCAGAAGAGGCTGCTGCGCCCGCGGAAGAGCATGCACCTGCGCCCGCTGAAGAATCTGCCCATATCGAAGAACGTGCTCCTGCGGAACCTGATCTGCTCGAACGTTCTCCCTCTGAGCCTGAGCTTCTTGAGCGTTCTCCAGCCGAAGTACCTACTGGTGTCGAGGAGCCTGCTGCATACGAGCCTACTCCAGAAGAACCAAGTATCGACAGAGGGGTTCCCGAAGAGGCCCTGGCTACGGATGTCTCGGAGGATGTTGACTCTGCCGAGCATGATGACGATGCCTTGGCTGCAGCCGGTGCGGCAGCGGCAGGGGCAGGGTTGGCAGCAACAGCCGCCCACAGTTCGCGAAGAAAGAAGAAGAGGTCTCCTGATCTGGAGCGGGATCGAGACCGTTCCAAGAGCTCTTCCGAAGGACATCGATCAATGCAGCGGCAGAACAGTCAACGCGGTAGCGGTCTTACTGGCCGATGGGCGGAATCCATGAAGGAGGCCCGGCGACAGCATGAAGAGAAGGCCAAACAAAAGGCAACCTTGGCCGAGAAGGCCGAGAAGGCCGAAAAAGAGCGCCGTGCCCACGAACGCGAGCGTGCAAGACGCGCTGAACGAGAACGGGCTGAACGGCCAGAGAGATCTGAGCGCGTTGAACGGCATGAACGGCATGAGCGAACTGTACGTACCGAGCGACCTGAACGGGCGGAACGGGCCGAGAGGGAGAGGGTTGAGCGAGTTGAACGAGCTGAAAGGGCTGAGAGAGCGGAACGAGCACAGCGACTGGAAGAAGCGGAACGCGAACGGGCTCTGAGGGCTGAGAGAGTCGAGCGTCACGAGCGGTCTGAGCGATCAGAAAGAATGGAGCGTCGTCTGAGCGAGCAAGACAGCAGCTCAAGCCGACCGCGACACCGCAGCTCAAACCACTCGGGGAGCTACGAGGGTGATCGCAAGAGCAGCTCCTCCTCGTCTCGCGTCATCCCAGAATCCACGACCACGAAGCCTCGCTTCTTCCTCAAGTACATGGCCGATGGCTCTGACAACCGACCGCCCCTGATGGTCAACGCTGCCAAAGCGACCGCCAATGTCTACGACCGCTCGCGACGCCCCTCGACCACCCATTCCCACAGCCATCGTTCCTCGCAGGAAGGCAAGAGCACGAGTGAGCGCTCCACCGAGTCCTCCCGCCGCGACGACGAAGGGGACCGTGCTCGCCGCCGGGCTCGCAAGTTGGCCGAACAGGCCGAGGCGGCGGCGGCGGCACCGCCAGCGAAGGAAGAACCCGAGCGGCGTCATCATCGCGGCGAGCAGCGCGATAGCACCGAGTCATCTCGCCATCGCCATCACAGACATCGCCGGGATCCCACGCCACCCCCGAGCGGCGCTTCGAAGATGAAAGGCTTCTTCAAAGCCGCCATTGCTGCACACTGAGTGCATCGCTCTCTGCCCCGACCCCGTTGAGTTCACATTTCACCACCACCACCACCATCATCATCATCACCAATCTCTTTGACATGTTTGACCGATTGCATCTATACATTACTTTCTTGTAACTTCCCCCCACATCTTTGATTGTTTTATTCTGGGATTCGTACATTTTGAGCATGCATTTATTGGTACAGCATTTGGGACGCGGGGCATTGTTGCTTGTTTTGGTTGACTGTTTTCATCCTCATGTCTCTTGTATGAGCGCCCCCCCCCTTTCGGGTTTCATTTTATTCCGATTGTATCTCGATACTTCTACTTTCCGTTCCTCATCTTCTTGTAAAGGCGGGTTATCTTGTAAATGTGTTTCCTCCCTACCAAAAAGCAGCATTTATTCTTTGGGATCATTTCAATATTCATTGAGAGTCGTAAAAACTGTAGTTATAGATTGACAGTGATACACATTGAAGCCCCGGATGTACATACGCGACTACAAGATCGGAATCGCCAGCCCATCGCCTCTGAGATCACTTCCACCACTGTAGATCAGCTTCCCTTCATCATAGTGGCACCGAATGATCTGGCCCCGCCCGAACATGCCCCTCTTCCAGCCGGCCAAGACCTTGACCTCGTGGCCCAGACGCCGCAGGCCCTCGATGGCCTCCTCGGCGATGCCCTCCTCGACGTAAACGGTGCGGTCCACGCTCTTGCCGGGGATGGGCTCGCCCGCGCCGATACAGATGCGCGGCGAGTCCAGCGCCGCCTGGGGGTGGTACCCGAAGGCGAGCATGTTGAGCAGCACCTGCACGTGGCCCTGCGGCTGCATGAAGCCGCCCATCACGCCGTACACGGAATGCAGCGATCCGTCGGCGACGTTCGTGACCATGGCCGGGATGATGGTGTGGTAGGACCGCTTGCGGGGGGCCAGGGCGTTCGGGTGGTCGGGGTTCAGCGAGAAGTTGGCCCCGCGGTTCTGCAGCGTGAACCCGCAGCCCTCGGGGATGATGCAGGTGCCGAAGCCGCCGTAGTTGCTGTTGATGAAGGAGATGCCGTTGCCCGCGCTATCGGTGACGGAGAAGTAGACCGTGTCGCAGTGGTTGTGGGCCGGGCTGCCGTGGTCGATGATGTCGGAGGCCCGCTCCGGGTTGAACAGTTTGGCCCGCTCGGCGAGATAGCCCTGGGAGATGAGGTCCTGAGACGGGATCTTGTTGGTGTCCGGGTCGGTGACCCACCAGGAGGCGTCGGCGAAGGCGATCCGCAGGGATTCGATGATTGCATGGAGGTACTCGGCGGAGTTGTGTTGGGCTTCGCTGAAGATGGGGATCTTGCCGGTACGCTCGAGCTCCTCGAGGATGCCCAGCGCCATGAGAGCGACTATGCCCTGGCCGTTCGGTGGGTGCTCCCAGATCTCGACGCCCTCGTTGGTCTCGTCGGTGGTGCCGTCAGTCTGCTTGGAGACGATACCCTGTCCCGTGAATTTGAGCGAGATGGCCTCCGTCTCTTGGCTTCCAACCTCGGCGTGGTACTTCAGGTCGTCTAGCGTCATGTAACCTCCCAGGTCCTGGACGACTTTGACGATCTCTTCGGCAACGCGGCCCTCGTAGAAGCCTTTCTTGCCGTGGGCGGCTAGGGAGCGGAAAGTTTGTGCGAGGGTTGGGTTGCGCAAGATTTCACCGGGCAAAGGGCTACGACAGCCGTCTTTAGCTGTGGGGTCGGCTTTGAGCATCTCTCGAAAGTTGGGAGAGGCAGCGCGGATCAAGTGCTCGCTTTCATGCCACTATTTAGTACGGTTAGTCCCATCAGTGCTCAAACAGAGAGCGGGTTTGAAAACGTATTTCAGAAAGTCTCTCGAAGCTGTAACTGCCAAATATGGGGTGACTTACGAAGTACGAGGCCAATTCAGACACAGGGAATCCCTCTTCGCCCAATTCAATTGCGGGACGCAAAACATCCTCCAAAGTCAAGTTCCCACTACCGAATTTCTCGAATGTGTCCACCCATCCTGCTGCAGCTCCAGGAGTTGTGGCTGCAAGGACACTATCCATGGGGATTTTTCCCGATTCGCCGGGACCTAGTTTGAGATCCTCTCGCACCTTTTCCAACGTTGCGCTGCCCGGGTATCTGCCGGAGCCGTTGATGGAATGCACCTTCTTTGTCTTGGCATCGTAGTAGAGGCAGAACATGTCCCCTCCGATGCCAGTGGAAGAGGGTTCAGTTATGTTCAATGCAGCGGCTATGATCAATTTGTGTTAGTGTTCGATTGAAGATAGAGTCGTTAGCATCGATGTAACTGACCTACGGCAATTGCGGCGTCCTGCCTAGAGGGTTAGCAGGGGCATGTCTGTTAGAGTTTGCGATGACGAAGACATACAGCAGCGTTGCCGCCATTACTGAGGATTTTCTGACCTGCAGCTGCCGCTAGAGGTTGCGTGCAAGTCACGATGCCCTTGGTACTATGCACGGTACTTCGTCGACTGGCAAAGGGAGCAAAGTCGGCATTGAGACGAGAATAGATGGCTTTAGAATTGAGTGGCATTGTTGAGGCGGGGGATCGTTGATTCAATTGAGAGAGCGGGGGCAGGGAAAGGAAGGGCGGCAGTCGGCTTTGGAGAGGCAGGCGAGGGAACCAAGCGAAGTTATACGGAGGAAAGGAAGAATGGAGAAGCTAGCGGAATCGATATGACTCCAATCTTGGTTGAAGGGCTATTGGTAGATAGGCCCGGCCGAGGATAAGAAGAGGGCGCGACGACGATAACTAAAGTTACCCCACTGAGTGAGGGGGAATCTCCAAATGTTGAAACTTGGCGGAGGGCGATGGCGTTATCTTATCGGAGGACATCCTGGCTAGTTAGAGTTGGAGTATAGCTGGGAGTGGGAGAGTGACTTGCAACAGCCATGACTCTTCTAGAAGCTCGGAGTATAGAATGCAATGGTGCAGTAGTATAGTGGTGGAAAGGTGGAACTATGAGTATCAGTCACAGTCTCTCTGTTGTACAATATTTGATATATTTGTCTTGTCTGCAAACAACTGTAGACCACGTGATTTATGCCGCATGACCTTCCCGAATGGGGGGTCAGTCGGTCGGGGAGGCAGCGATGGAGGGAGGGAGAGAGAAAGAGATAAGATGGAAAGTGCCAGGAGGATCTGATATGATCGCATCCAATTTCATCTCCGTTGCTCTGCCCTGCTCTCCACCCTCTTCTCTCTTCTCCTTAAGACGTTTCATAAAAGGATAAACCCTTCCTCTTCCCCACCGACACTCACTCTCTTTGGGATTGGCATCCCCATCAGACCCAGAAAAGGACCGCCACGGCTTCTGGATCGCCGAGACGAACCACTTCTACTACTACTCATTGCCCAGCTCGTGCTGGCCCCGCGCCGAAGAACGGAGCTGGATCTTTCCCAGCCGTGTCATTCCACTCCCAACATTTATGGATTCCAGGGAATCCCCTTTCATCTATAACTAAATTGCTCTGCCTTTGCCAGACTCGAAGAGTCTACGTATGCCTAGCTAACCGGCTGCTCACTGTGCGAATTCTTGCCCGGTGAATAACAGAGCTTGGGCCGTGTGGATACCCCCGCCTCCTCAACCATCCGTACTTCTACCGTCATTGTCACAATGGTGGTCTTCGTTGACTACGATCACGACGCGTTCAACAGGCACACTTTCCCTGGCGTCCCCGCCCCACACCTGCATCATTGCTTAGAACCTCAGAAGCCAATCTTGTCCAAGTTACTGGCAGTCGGTTCGGATCCATCGACGAACGTGCCTGCTGCTCACGATCAGTCCGCCGATCCGTCAACGAATCCTACAGTCCACCATGAAGATCAACAGCATGCCCTCAACCGGAACGCTTTTTCGGCCGCTCTAAGCTGCTATCCGTATGGAATACTCTTGGGCCAGGCTACTCGAGTGTCTGGTTCCTGATGTTGTGCTGACTCACCATCCAGGATCATAAAGGAAATTGCTCGAGCAGTCGACCTGAACACCTTGCATGCCCTCTCCCAGACCTGCCGCCAGTTCCACGCAAATCTGGCCCCATACCGCTCGCAGCTGATTAAGCAGACCTTGCGCTGCGAGAATGAGTACATCGAGACCGTATCGGACATGCTTGACAGCGGAGCAGCAATTCCCAACAGCGTCAAGTCTGTGCTGCAACTATTGAGTCAGAACGCAAGAGCATCGGGCCGAATAACCACTGGCAAGGTTGCTAAATGCGCTAGAGATATGGTTGCTGAGTGTCGTCGATGCTCGAAAGTGGTGTGCCGGGTATGCTTAGGCCTCCCCGGCTTCAACTCGAACATTGACGGACTAACGTTGGCTCACTGCAGAACTGCACCATCAAGCCTCCCTCAAGCAGCATGTATAGGAACCGCATTCGCCGTCTCTGCACGACCTGCCAGACAGCCCCGTTGACTGACTTAATTGATCCATTGCCCTCTTCGTCTCAGTCTGCAATGGCCCACGAATCATCAGCACCAACCGCAACGTCAACGGCCATTGCTTTTCAACGCACCCCATGCAATTGCTATGAGGCGATCTGGCTCTGTCATCAATGCGGTCACTGCGTCCGCAGCAATGACACCACCTACCGTCGCGTCTGGACCTGGCGCACACGTTACAGCACCTATCTTGGCGGCTTAGGCACGGGAATCGGCGAGGGCTGTCAGGGCGTCAAGTGCGGCCGAGGGGAACAATGTCTTGCAGCCAAAGAGATTGAACTCGAGGTTGAATGCGAAGCGGACGAGGCGTCCGGGGGTAGCTCGCCGGATTACAGTCACTACTATGAGCATCGGAATCATGCGCATAGTCCTCCCAGACATACAACCATCGAGAGCTGGGATCATCGTGACGGGGACGAACCGGGGTATTTCCGGCAGGAGATTATCGGGATTGGAGGCAGGGTGAAGCAGAAGGCGAAGAAGAGAATTGTAGTAGGCGCTTGTGTGGCGGAGCATGAAGATGAGAGGGAAACGGGAGAGTATCTCACTAGGGAGGAGAAAG